TATTTCCAATAAAAATAGTTTTTTTTTTGAAACAATGATATAAAATAAAGTTTGTCAAAATTAATTATTTTACCACTGTAACTTGCAAAATAGTCACTTAAAGAAGTAAATTTATGATATACATCATTATAGATGTATTAAATTATATTTTATGAACCAAAATTGTTTAATTAACTATGAATCTAATGGCTATTTATTGATGTTCTCAAGTTTTAAATGCGTACAAATTTTTTCTAAAATGCCATTTAAATATATATATTTTTTAATTATTTTAGTTACGTGCTCCAAGAAGTCCTTACGATCTTAACACAGAACACCGCGCATGAGCATTTAATTGGAAGTTCAAGCCGACCAATGTCGCAAAACTTGTTTGAAGTGGGGTTTGAACCATGGGTCTTTTGTTTCTGAGGCAAGTACGCTAGCAAAGCATTACGGCTGCTTGAATTAATCTTAATAATCTAAATAACATGAAAAACACTACAGAAAATTATAAGCAACAAGTCATTGTTAATGTAGATGCAGCAATAATTATAAATAAGTTTGTAATCTGTCAACATTGAAAAAAAAATATCTTGAACAATAGTTGATGGAAAAAAAAAGTATTCTGACGATTCAATATGCAGCATCGTTTTGGCATTTAAAACCTGTCCATAAAATATTATGTAGTTATACTTTTAAGATATAAAATATTTGATAAGGAAGGATATTCTTGAAAATCAACTGATTTCCCAAAAAAATAAAAATTCTCAACACTTAGAATCCTCAGGTTAAAATGTTTTAAACGCCTAACTAATGTTCACCCTGCCTAAATAAAAACTGGCAACTGCCCGACAAACAAATGGCCCTCTCCCTTTACTTACATATTTTGGAAATTAAAGACAATATAAAAAACAAAAACAGGTAAAATGACTACTCCTTTATACAGATAATTAGGTTATGCTACTAATGCTGTTAAAAATGTATGACAGTGAGCAAAGATACCAGAACGTTTGGAATCTCTAATCAAATGCTTTATCATAAATGTTTAAAAGAGCTACCATGAAAATGCAGCAATATGGGTATAAGTTGGTACTAGGTAAACACATTAAAAGCAAGTTAGTTAAATGATTAGTAACATGAAATAGAATAGTATTTGTTAAGTCTTTGGTACAGCTAATAGCTACTGTACAAAAAATATAAAACAATATAAAAATATAATTTACTACCTATCGCCATGCAAAAGTTTGACTTAATGCATTTCTACGTTGTTATGAATAGTTTTCAAAAACATGGTAAATATTTAAACCAGGCTAAAGAAGTAATAACTGTAGTTTAGAGAGATTAGTTTTATAAATCTTACATGTGTACAAGCTTAATTTTTAAATGGTTTAATTTAATATAATGAAATTAGGATATATTGTGTAAGCCAATAAACTCAAATTGGTTTTTATAATAACTAACTGATCTATATATATATATATATATATATATATATATATATATATATATATATATGTATATATATATATATATATATATATATATATATATATATATATATATATATATATATATATATATATATATATATATACCTGGTAATTTCTAAGAGAGGTTACTGGCATGCAAAAAACAAAAACACGCACACTGCCTGTAATCTTACAAATTAATGATTAACTTTTTGCTTAATCCAACAATGATTTTTGATGAATTAAATAAATTTTTTGTGGCAGTTGGCCAAAATCTTGCAAAAAAAATTCCTTTTGTGATAAACAAAATGAATAACTTCGATTTCAGTCAACTTCGTCTCTAACTTCCTTCGAATTGTCTTTTGAAGAATTTGAGCAATCTTTTAAAATGCTAAAGTCTAATAAATCTATTGACGGTATTTATAGTAATGTGGTCATTCACTCGTATGAACATTTGAAAGATGTACTATTTAAAGTTTTACACTGTTTAATAAAACAAGGAATATCTTAAAATAGCCAAAGTCACACCAATTTTCAAAGAAGTTGAGACAACAAATCTGATAAAAGCGTAACTACATTATTTCAAGATATGAACATGGAATTAACAAAAATATCTGATTGGTTTAAAATGAATAAACTTTCACAAAGTGTTGAAAAAACAAAATGGACACTTTTTCATCCAGGGTTTAAAAAAAAAAAATACCTCCTTGTGAACTACCTTTACTTTTTATTGATAAAATCCAATTAAAAAGAGCAATTAGTGCTAATTTTTTGGGTATCTATGTTGATGAAAACCTTAGTTAGAAATACCACATTGAATTCTTAGGTAATAAAATTGCTAAAAGTATAGGAATATTGTATAAAGCTAGAGGTGTGTTAAATAAACGTAGTCTTATTCAATTATATTTCTCGTTTATTCATTGTCATTTAAACTATGCAAATATTTCTTGTTGCAATGCCAATAAATGTAAACTGGAGCCTCTTTATCGTCAACAAAAGTATGTTGCTTGTCTTAACAATTTTAAAAACAGATTTACTCACGCCAAGCCTCTTTTATTTGAAATGAGAAATCTTAATAAATATTAGCTGAATGTTTTTAATATTCTTTGTTTTATGTATAAATGTAAAACTAACTCTTCCCTAGTTTCTTTCCATAATTTATACACGCTGAAATATAAAAATTAATACAATTTAAGAAATGATAATTTAATTCGTCAACCATTTTTTCAGAACAAATTTGTAAAATCTAATATTTCTTGTCGAGGAGCTTTTTTCTGGAACAAAATAGTTTTAAAACATTTTAATTTTTCTCTGCAATAGAGTTATTTTTCATTCAGAAATAAGCTTAAAGAAAGCATTTTGTCTCATGATGATATATTGTCATATTTTAAAACGTTATTAATTTGATGTATAAATTTTGTATAAAATTTGATGTATAAATTTTGTATAAAATTTGATGTATAATAGTTTATGTTTATTCAGTTGAATATTTATAAGAACATGCACTTAAATGTGATTAGAACTGTATATGCACTTGATTTAATATATAAACATACATTGAATTTTATGAAGTTTTAATTTACGAGCGGTTCTTGGTGACAAGACCTAATGGTTTTCTGCGAGTCTCCCCAGTGGCCACACAACGCTATTTCGACGTTGATTCACAGTTGATTTTTAGTCGCGACGTCGTATAACCAAAAATCAACGTTGTATCAACATTGAAAAATTTGTTTAAAACTATCAAATAAAATCGACGTTGATTCCACGTTAATTCAACGTCTATATTACGAGTTCGACCGTTCGTAATTGCAATATGAGAACTAAAATACGCATGCGTGAATTTAAAATTTTTTTATCAGCATAACAAATAACAAGTAAAGACTTAACAAGTTGTTTATTAGCCCAATAAAAACGGTGAGCGAAAGATACTATGACTCAAAATGATGTTTTGACTTTTTATAAAACGAAGACCAGATATATTACTGAAATGGGGAGAAATGTAGGATTGACATATTTAGGGATAACATGCAAGGAAATGCTGCTACATCGACTGAGGGTTTGGGTTAAGACAGGTATAGATCAATCGATGTAGCAGCACTCTCATACATTCCTCCTCAAATCAGTAATATATCTGGTCTTCGTTTTTAAAAAAAATCAAAACCTCATTTTGAGTCATAGTATCTTTCGCTTACCAATAAAAACAAGTAAAGTCAAACATGCTAATAATTAGGCAATCTATTGCCTTTTTATAAGGTTTTAAATTTGACAATTTAACAATAACACATGGCTTAACTTGTGATGCAGTTAGTTAGATAAATATTAAATAGATATTTCTTTATGACCGTATTATTTCATGAGTATGGATTACAAGTAGAGATTACTTAAATTATTTTTACAGTTTTTTAACAAAGTTTTTTTTTAGAGTTTGATTAAGTTATTTTACTATGTATGTTAGTATATTTGACTATACTAGTTTATATATATATATATATATATATATATATATATATATATATATATATATATATATATATATATATATATATATATATATATATATATATATATATATAATATATATATATATATATATATATATATATATATATATATATATATATATATATATATAATATATATATGTATATATATATATATATGTATATATTCATATATGTATATATATATATAAAATATATATATATATATATATATATATATATATATATTTATATATATATATATATATATATATATATATATATATATATATATATATATATATATATATATATATATATATGTATACATATGTATATGTATACATATATATATATATATATATATATATATATATATATATATATATATATTTAAATATATGTGTATATATATATATATATATATATATATATATATATATATATATATATATATATATATATATATATATATATATATATATATGTATGTATTTATATACATTTGTATATGTGTACGTCCAAATGACGTCTTCTTTACGTCCCGTGCCCACTGGGCAAGGGCTTGTCATTCGTAAAAAGGTTACAAATATTTTATACTTTTGTGTGCTAGTCACAATAGAAACAAACAATTCTCTGGAACTGAAGGATTGTTCCCAAAAAGCATAGGTGGCTCTTGCAACTTTTTTAATATTTAGATTTATATCTCTTTTTATTATTATATATTTTTTATTAATATTGTTATTGTTGTTACTATTGTAATTTTCATTATTATTGTTATTTATAGTATTAAAGATATTTCTATTACCAATATTATTGTTTTTTTTTGTTTTTTTTTTCTAAATATTATTATTACTTTTTTTTTTATTCATCGTTTTTATAATCGTATGGAATAAATTAGTTAATATATGGATAAGGGATTGTCAGTAAATACATACGCTAAAACAATTTAAAAACAGTAATCTGAGATTATGAACAAAACTTATTTATTTACACTTATGCGCGGTGATTTTCATTGCAGCTAAAGGTCTATTTTAACCTTCGTTTTAATTTAAAATCATAATAGTTAAAAAATCTGTGAAGGAAAGTATGTGAGTTTTTTGTTTTGTTATTTATGGACGATCCTGGTATGAAAGTGGGTGTGAAATATTATAACTTAAAATTGTAAAAGAATTAAAACCTTTCGTTTAAGATCTTTTGCACTCGCAAAAAAAGAAAAGTTGAATTTAAAAACAAGTATGCTCGTATTTTAATATTACAAGTTTGAGTTACATATAAAATAATATTTTATAAATATATATATATATATATATATATATATATATATATATATATGTATATATATATATATATATATATATATATATATATATATATATATGTATATATATATATATATATATATATATATATATATATATATATATATATATATATATATATATATATATATATATATATGTATATATATATATATATATATATATATATATATATATATATATATATATATATATATATGTATATATATATATTTATATATATATATATATATATATATATATATATATATATATATATATATATATATATATATATATATATATATATGTATATTATGTATTTATATATATTTATAATTATTTTTTAGACGAGAATAAATATAAATAAGTACATAATTTTTACTACCTAGAATTTTATGCGTTTTGCAATTATCAGGTAAAAACCTGTAATTTAAAAGTTACCAGATAATTGTATAACGCATGGAACCTTCAATAAAAAAAGTTATGTAGGTATTTTCATTTAATATAGTCTAAAAATCATATTTCTTATCATTTAACGAGCACTCTTGCTGAATATATGCAAACAGCAAAATTGAATTTATATGAATTTTTATTTATGTATATATGTATATATATATGTATATATATATATATATATATATATATATATATATATATATATATATATATATATATATATATATATATATATATATATATATATATATATATATATATATATTTATATATATATATATATGTTTTTTATTTTTCAACCATATCAATAAAATTTACAAATTTCATCGTAAATTAATATAAATTATTTAGGTGTGACTCATATAGTTACAAACTAGTCAATGGAGTGACACCTAAAAAACATAAAAATTTCACGAAAAAATAAATATGTAAATAAACAGAAGGAAAAAAAAAAAAAGATACAAAAGCAAACAAACAAAAAAAAAAAACAAAAGGAAAAACTCAAAATCTGTATATATAAATAAGAGAGAAAAGAAGAAAAGATTGTTAAACAAATAATAATGATATATGTAATAATAAAAGTAATAATTCAAAATAATAGCAATAATAATAAAGTACCAATAGTATTAAGAATACTATAATACAATATAAATTGTATGTACAAATCATAGATGATAATTAGATATAATAATAACATAAAATGTAACATTAATAACACAATAATAAATAAATATAAGATAGATAAATAATAAATAAAGTAAAAAATATGTATATATATTTATATATACATACTTCGATATGAAAAATTCTTTCAAAACTGCCAAATTTTTGCTGTGGATTATATGCGGAACCGTTTAACTCGTAGGAGAACCATTGCAAACAATGCAAAACTACCTTTAATTTTCTTACATTTAAAGATAAATTGTATAATAATATTTGCTTATTTAAAACAAAATAAATTTCAAAATTGAATTTTTGTGAGAAAACTTAATTGAGAATTTTTATTCATGCATTATCTGCCTTCACGGTTGTCAAATTCAAAGTATTTAAATCGTTGTTAAAACTATGGTTTTGAGCACGTCTTGATCGATATAGTATTTAATATGAGCTGTGAAAAGTATTAAATTTAATTGTTAGTGTTGAATTTTACACATTAAATTATGTTTATGTTTTAATTTATTATAAAATTTTAATTTGTATTAGTTTTAAGATAAAAAATGCATTTTTTCTAAACATTTTAATTATAAGTAATATTTAGAAGGATTATCTTAACAAACTATTATATTGCTAATCTTTTTAAAAGGATAAAGTATATACTCACATGAGTCACTACTAGTTACCATTATTATTATACTTATATTTACTAAGTTATTATTATTAATATTAATTAAAACTGCAGAAATACTATGACTGTTAAAATTTACAAAATGATTATATTCATCAGTATTCAAATAATAGTCAGTGGGCTATAATTAAAATCACCTGTCTTTTTTTTTAAACATAAGTGTTGTCTTGAATAACATGATGGTGATAAATTAATGTCAAAGAAGTTGTTTTCTGCAAGTAAGGTGAGTTCGATGAGTTTTATTGGATTGATGGAGGTTACATTGTGTAAAAGTACGAAAAATTAGATAAATTAAAGGAAGAGCTGGTCTTGTTTAAAAATGTTTAACTAGCGAGATGCTGAGAGTGATTGAAAGGCCTCAGCTACTGAATTCCATTTGAGGAATAGGTTCCTTTCTCTTCCATTGATGTTGACTTTTTTGGATGAGTCAATGCATTTGATTTTTTGGTTGAGAGTGGTATGCTTTATGAGTAAAATTTTCGTTTTAAAGAACAGATACGCGAGTGAGAAGTATGCTGATTGTGGCTATTAGTTTTGATATCGTCGCATCAAGCTTTTGAAAAGCAGCTGAATGGTTACCTTGATTTTAGCCTGGCTAATTGACTGCTAGAACTGCGAGTTGTCTTTTTTTTTGTCTGCGAGCTGTCTTTTTTCCAAAATTAAATCAACTAGAAAAATGGGGTAAAGGAATCAAAACTAAAAATTTAAAATAGCTATATCTTAAAAACTGGGCATTTACCAGTTGAGAAATTTCTACCATAAATTTATTATGCCTTAAAATGCAAAATAATTTGTAAAACGGTTAGAACTTATGACTGCACTACGAATCTGAATGGCAGTTATTATTGGCATGCGGTCTAAAATACAACAAAACAGTTTACTATGTTTGAAATTTATTTTTTTATTTTTATTTTTTTACAATTTTTGCCAATATAAAAAATTTACAGTCGTAACTCATAAAAAAGTATTTACATGACCGGGGCTAGAAGAAGATAAATTTAGTCTTATCATTAAGCCCCAAAAAGTGCGTCATTTTTAGACAAAATATAGTTTGATAATAACTTATAGTTTCATTGTATATATCTCTGAATTATATTATAAAAGAAAACGTAAATATATTGCATATCGTTTAAAATTAATAGTTTTTAAAGAATAAGATTTAAGAATTGGTTTGAAAAATAAGAAGATTTGATTTTATATAAAAAACATTTTATTGTTAGAACAGCTTATAGTTTAAGTTATTTAATTATATTTATAATACTTTTACATTGCCAATAAAGTAAATGCAAATAAACAGTAAAAAATAAAAGTAAAAGATTAATTAATTACACAGAATTAAATTTCTCAAAAAGATGCTTATTTTTTTAAATAATAAAAATATATGAATATAATTAAATAATAAATATATATGTATAAAATATGTATATATTTAAATAATAAAAATATATGTTGATTAATTATTGATTTCTATTTTAAAGAAGTTTAATTAGAAAAAATTTAACGCATTTTTAGTAAACAAAAGTAACTGCTTAAATTTTGTTTTGAATTGGTTTAGAGAATAATTAGTTTTCAGTTCATTACTTAATATTATGTTCCACAACTTTGGTCATCGGTTTACAATAAAGAATTTAGTTGTGGAATAATATGTTTTGGATTGAATGTAGTTGTATTTTGAAAATCTAGTAGGGTATATGTGATTTATTTTTTTTAAAAATTGAATAAAATAAGATTGGTAATATATTTTTATCAAGTCTGAACATGAAAATAAGAATATGATAGAGGTTTAGTTTATATACAGTTAGTATATAGAGTTCATTAAATAGTGTTTGTGTGTGTGAGAAACGATTTATGTTTGAATCTATTTTTATAGCCTGTTTTTGTTTACTAAGCAATTTTTTTATTTTCGTCGCGTTAGTGCTACACCAAGCAATGTTTGCATAACTTAAATAGCAATGAATAATAGTAAAGTAAATGTTTTTTAAACAAGATCGATTTAATAATCTTTTACATTGTACCTAAATCTTTTGATATTTTATCTTCAACTACACCTATATGTTCCCTCCAGGTTACATTTTTGTCTTGAAACACGTCTAAAAATTTTATTGATTACTCTCTCTTTATTAATTGATCATCAATAAAAAGGTGTGGAAGTTCTGAAGGAACATCTGATTTTTTATGTAGACGATTGAATAAAGTGTATTTTGTTTTATTAATATTTAAAGATAACTTGTTTGATTTAAACTATTGGGTTAGTTTGTCTAGTTCTTTATTTACTGTTTGAAATAATATATTCATATCTTTATTGGAATAAAACAAGCTGGTATCATCTGCAAATAAAATTGTATTTAAAATGTTAGAAAGTTTACTTGAATCGTTTACATAAACGAGAATAGTAGTGGCCCTAAAAATGATCCTTGAGGAACACCACATTTAATTGTCTCATTATTAGTTCTTCTTTTATCATATACTATATACTGCTTCCTATTAGTCAAATAACTTTCGCACCAAGTAAAGAAATTTAGAAATTCAAACAAAGCAATTTAAAAACTCATAAACATTTTTTTTATTATTTTCTGAATTGTATTGTATAAATATTATATACACTATTGATTTATTTTTATGTAATAAAAATAAATCAATAGTGGTCCAAGGGGGAGTATTTGCCCCTCCCCTTTCCATCCTTCATATTCCACGACTATGAAAATATCCTGAACTAGTAATTAAATAATGCTGTTTAATGTTTTTAGTATAAATTTTTCTTCATTTCAAAGTTTATGTTTTATCAAAATTCCATAAAGATATTTTTTTAAAATCAATTATATCTTTTTTTTCTTTCAGTAAACTTAAGATAAAGTAACGATATACTTTTAATTTTAAGTATATTATTTTAGTTTTAGAGTTTTTTCTTTTATTTTGATGTCTAAAAACTAAATTTCTTGCATTTAGTGTCAAGATATGAATTAATTTCTGACGAATTTATTTCAAAATGTTGTGGTGAAATAAGCTATGAAATTGGAAGTAATTGGTTTCGATGGGGAAGACATCTAGGCTTAAGTGACTCTGATCTTGATAACATTAACTGTGATAATATAACTTGTTGTGAGAAAGCTCATAATGTTATTAAAAAATGGAAACAAATAAATGGAAATCTTTCTTGGGAACAAATAAAGAAAGAATTGATAGCTTTTAAACGTAATGATATCGTAGTTGAAATTGAGAAAAAGTTTGGAGGTAAGAATAACTAAAAGGTAATTAAGTTAAAAAAAATTATAGTTGTTTTTTCAAAATTTATTGTTCAGTATAGTGCCCTGAATGCCCTAAAATACTAAATTTCAACAGAGCCGCGCTGTAACTTTTTAGGCTACTTAAAACACTTTTCAACTTTTTTTAATTCATTTCTATTGGGTTTTATATACAAAAAAAAACAATAAAAAAAATACTAAAACTCTTTTCTCAGCACTTTTGTTTGCAAGTTAATCTATTATATCATTGTAATTAATTGTTCTGGTGGTTGCATTTTTTATAGACAGTATTGCTACTCCTAAAAGACTTAGAACGCAGACAACTTTTAATTAATTTTAGTTAAGAAAATGATTGTTAACAATAACCAACAATATTGGGTATTGTTAAAACAATTTGATATACAGTATCGGACAAAACAAAGCAACCAAATAATGCTAATTTAGTTTCTTTATATAAAAGTTCTGCATTTTTTTAATTTGGAGAAATCAGTATGTAACTGTTTAGAGACAATGTTTTTCAAGTTTTATTCATAACAAAACTCATTATTTGTACACGAAAATTACTAAATTAAGCAAAAGTATTTTAAAAAAAGTTGATTTCCTTATGGACAAAACAAGTGCAACTCCACAATATGTTGACCAAGTTGTATTTCGCTATCAATTTTTTGTAGCAAATCCTTTGTTGTTAATCACAGCCTTGCATTTTCGAGGCATAGCTTCAATCAGGTGATTAATAAAACTTTTTGAAACTGTTTTATTGATCACCTGCCCAGGCTTTTTGGATTTGTTCAAACAGCTAATCCTTATTACGAACACCTTCACGATTATTTCTGCGGTTGACGATCTCCCGCAGGTTCTCCATAGGGTTGAGATCCAGAGATTAAGGCGGCCAATCCATCGCCGATAGGTGGTTCTCTTGAAACCACTGCTTGACTTTTTTTGCAGTGTGTTTCGAAACGTTGTCTTGCTGAAAAACCTATTTCATTGGATTATTCCGATCAGCATGAGGTAACATAACATCTTTCAGGATATTTTTATTCATGAAACGGTCCATTATTCAATTGATTCTATGTATTGGACCTAAACCGTTAGCAGAAAAACACCCCCAGACCATTACATTGCCTCCACTATGCTTTACGGTCTTATGGCAGACACGTAAATTGAGGCGTTTTCCGGCCGGTTGACGTACACGGCAAACGCCATCCCAATGATGCTGTACTTCAATTCATCACTAAACAGGACCATTCGCCATTTCTGCACATTCCAGTCAATATGAGATGTAGCAAACAGGAGTCTTTTTTTCTGGTTCTTTAGTGAAATCAGCGGTTTCTTTGCAGGGCGTCGAGAAAACAATCCGGCTTCAACAGCACGTCGTCTGATTGTTCAGTCCGATACGGGCAGCTCTAATTCCTTTTGTATCTCGACTGATGCTATCCAGGGATCCTTCTTGACGGATCTGACGATAATAGAATCCTCTCTAGAAGTGGTGGAACGTGGCTTTCCACCTTTGTTATCTGCTGCCAACTTCCCCTTAGAACAATATTTGGAACATAGTCTTGATACGGTCCATTTTTCACGCAATATTTATCACAAATACTTTTTTGTGACATTCCACTTACGTAATCGTCAATAATTTTCTTTCTTAGTTCTACTCCGAGACTGTTGGGAGCCATTTTTGCACTTGAAGTCATAAAAATAATAAAAATAAATAATCACGGTTCTCAAGGCTTACCGTGTTACATTTACCTTGTGATGATACAATAATGCTTTGTGGAACACAACGTCTTGGTTAGATGTGGACTGTATTGATGTAATGAAACATTTGTTGTTTTTCACTTCTTGTATTGATGTTCTTCAATAAAACACTTTGATAAAACTCACTTCAATGAACTGTCTTGATAATACTGACTAATTGACTTCCATATACTGACTGAATTACATGTCGATATACATGTCTCTTATATAGTAAAATGAACCTGTGGGAACCTGTTCTGGAAGATTCTAGATGCTTCTTTTCGATGCTTCTGGAAGCTTCTGGATGCTTCTGGATGCTTATGAGTGTTTCTGGATACTAATGGATGCTTCTGGATGCTTCCAGATGGTTATTCTGGAAACTTCTGGAAGCATCTGCATGCTTCTGGAAACTTCTGGATACTTCCTTTAACTATTAAAAAATCTCCGTGACGTTAACACGGACCAGACTTTAGAAAATGAAACAAATCAAAAAAGTTGCACTTGTTTTGTCAACTGCAAAATGGCACTTGTAAACGAAATTCTACCTGTTTGCTGTCACCTGTCAGCTGATTGCTCGTGTCATGGTATGCTATGACTCCAGACTCCTGAACTGTTTGCTGTAGTAGTATAGTTCGTTTTGTTTTTAAGACATGTAAAATTAGGGACACTTTTTAGCATTGTTCGATGTTGGTTGCAAATGTTTTGTCTAATACTGTATATTTTGGAAATAGTTTTTAAATTTTTTTCTAAAATAAATAAAAACTCTCTATAATGTAAAATTATCTTCGAAAATATATTTTAAAATAAAAGTTTTATTTTTTAGTTCTACCTTTTTTTTTTTTTTTTTTTAATATTTGACCAGATTTGTACAATAATTTTTTTTTTTTTTTTTTTCGTCATTTGACACATTTTACAATGTTAAACTTACATTCAAATAATTTTATACAAATGCAAGCTGACTGGGGCAAGTAGAAGATAAAATGTTTTATCATCAAGCGCCTTCGTGAAAATAAAAAAAATTGAAAAAATTTACAATTTCCAATAATATATAAAAGAGTGAAATTAAAAAAAGTAAAAAAAGAATTTAAAAAGTTTGAAAAAATCAAAAAATTGAAAAAATAATTTTTAACTTTGACAAAACTAAAAAATTTAAAAATAATGAAAACTAAAAAAGATTGAAAAAATAATTTACAAATCCGTACATATGCGTATACATATCCAATAAACTTCTAATATATATTTAAATATACAAAAAGTATTTTGAATTAAAAAAGATTCCGAACATTTATAGATTTAAGTTCATCTATTCATATTTTTTTTTTAAACAAAATTAAATCAGACAAACAAAAAGAAACAAGAAAAATATACATATTAAAAGGATATATGTATATATAAACACATACACACATACATATACATGTACACATACACACATATACATATAAACATATAAATATATATATAAACACATACACACATATACATATATATACATACACACACATGTACATACATGTATATATATATATATATATATATATATATATATATATATATATATATATATATATATATATATATATATATATATATATCTATATATATATATATATATATATATATATATATATATATATATATATAGTATTTTGAATTAAAAAAGATTCTTTGAAGGTATTAAGAGATTAGTAATAATAACCATTTGAAGGTAAGAATTTGAAGGTATTAAGAGATTAGTAATAATAACCAGCATAACAACATATTTCAGAGACTTTAGGTACAATATCTTGCTAAAAAATAGTTAAAAAGACAGTTTTTTAAATTAGTAATCGAGTCAATTGATTTTAATGGTGAAGGTAGACTGTTCCATGACTTTACACTTTTACATTTAATGAATTTTAGACCATAATTTACAGAAGATTAATTTGGTACATGAAGATTTAGATATAGCAGAACCTAGATAATAGCGACAGCTTTCTCTAACAGTAAAAAATTTTGTAAATGTGCTGGGTAGGTAACTTTTTTTATGATAGAAAACAAACTGAAAATTAAATAGTTAAATTGGAAAAGCTGACCGGAATTAAAATGAAAATGTAGAAATTATATATTTTTTAAAGTTTTGTAAGTTGGATAATCCTAAAATTTCTTGGGTAAGGAATGCTCTCAAACTTGACACGCAGACCTAAGATCTGATTCAAAAATGGCATGGTATATATTGGTAAGAGTTTTAGGATTGACATTAACAGTGACAAATTTTAGCTAACTTCCCGTTTGATCTACAAACTTTTATTGATTATTCCTTAAGATGATACGAAAAAATTAAATTTGAGTAAACTTTGATTCCAAGATACTTTAGCTTGATTACTGGAGTAATTTTTTTGACCCCTTAACCTAAAAATTACGTGTTTATTGATATTAGATTGTTTTGATTTAAAGATGATAATTGCAGTTTTACTAGTTTTCGGAGACGATTTGTAAGATCAAAGCCATTGAACTAGATTAGATGGATCATGTTTGTTTATTTTATTAATGATTAGTTAATTAAAAACAAGTTAATGTTATCAGATAATGATAGAAAGTTGTATATTTTAGTGATAAGTTAAGATCGTTAATAAAAACAAGGAAAAGCAATGGTCATAATACAGAATCTTAAAGTACACCTGTAGTGCATATTACCAAAGAAGATGTGTTACCATTAATGGATGCACTATGAAATCTATCATACAGGTATAAGGTAAATTATTAGAGAGAAATTATTCTAATATCATTGTATTCCAGATTACTAAATGATCAACAGTGTCAAATGCTTTCTGTAGATCATATATATATATATATATATATATATATATATATATATATATATATATATATATATATATATATATATATATATATATATATATATATATATAGTATATATATATATATATACATATATATATATATATATACATATACATATACATACACACATATACATTTATACATATACACATATACATACACACACATACACACACATACATATATATACACACATATATATATATATATATATATATATATATATATATATATATATATATATACATATATATATATATATATATATATATATATATATATATATATATATATAAATATATATATATATATATATATATGTATATGAATATATATATATATATATATATATATATATATATATATATATATATATATATACATATACATATACATACACACATATACATATATACATATACACATATACATACACACACATTCATATTATACTTACAGACGATTTTTTATTATATATATATATATATATATTTTTTATTTATATATATATATATATATATATATATATATATATATATATATATATATATATATATATATATATATATATATATATATATATATATATATATATATATATATATATATGATCTACAGAAAGCATTTGACACTGTTGATCATTTAGTAATCTGGAATACAATGATATTAGAATAATTTCTCTCTAATAATTTACCTTATACCTGTATGATAGATTTCATAGTGCATCCATTAATGGTAACACATCTTCTTTGGTAATATGCACTACAGGTGTACTTTAAGATTCTGTATTATGACCATTGCTTTTCCTTGTTTTTATTAACGATCTTAACTTATCACTAAAATATACAACTTTCTATCATTTTCTGATAACATTAACTTGTTTTTAATTAACTAATCATTAATAAAATAAACAAACATGATCCATCTAATCTAGTTCAATGGCTTTGATCTTACAAATCGTCTCCGAAAACTAGTAAAACTGCAATTATCATCTTTAAATCAAAACAATCTAATATCAATAAACACGTAATTTTTAGGTTAAGGGGTCAAAAAAATTACTCCAGTAATCAAGCTAAAGTATCTTGGAATCAAAATTTACTCAAATTTAATTTTTTCGTATCATCTTTAGGAATAATCAATAAAAGTTTGTAGATCAAACGGGAAGTTAGCTAAAATTTGTCACTGTTAATGTCAATCCTAAAACTCTTACCAATATATACCATGCCATTTTTGAATCAGATCTTAGGTCTGCGTGTCAAGTTTGAGAGCATTCCTTACCCAAGAAATTTTAGGATTATCCAACTTACAAAACTTTAAAAAATATATAATTTCTACATTTTCATTTTAATTCCGGTCAGCTTTTCCAATTTAACTATTTAATTTTCAGTTTGTTTTCTATCATAAAAAAAGTTACCTACCCAGCACATTTACAAAATTTTTTACTGTTAGAGAAAGCTGTCGCTATTATCTAGGTTCTGCTATATCTAAATCTTCATGTACCAAATTAATCTTCTGTAAATTATGGTCTAAAATTCATTAAATGTAAAAGTGTAAAGTCATGGAACAGTCTACCTTCACCATTAAAATCAATTGACTCGATTACTAATTTAAAAAACTGTCTTTTTAACTATTTTTTAGCAAGATATTGTACCTAAAGTCTCTGAAATATGTTGTTATGCTGGTTATTATTACTAATCTCTTAATACCTTCAAATTTTATTATTAACTTTTTGTTCTCGTATTTTTATTGTTATTGTTAGTATCGGTATTAATAATATTCTTTATTATTAAACTGTTATTTTGTTTAAAACTTAATAAGTATTATTATTGCTTTTTTTATTTTTTTTTAAATTAAATTACTACTTATACTATATATTTGTTATTATCAATATTATTTCTATTATTTAATATTTTTTTGTCTAATATTTTTATTGTTATTGTTAGTATTGTTATTAATAATATTCCTCTTCATTGTCATCTTATTATTGTTAATAATATTTTTTTTACTATTATAATTACTATTCTTATTATTATTTTTATTATTATTATTATTATTATTATTATTATTATTATTATTATTATTATTACTATTATTGTTATTATGATCACAATTATTGCAATGTTGCAGATTTTTACATTTAGATTAACACTTGTACTGTTTGTAAAAGTCCTTGAAATCTTATATTTAAATTTAGAAAATATACATATTGAATTGAATTGATTATGAAACTAATCAGATGTAAGAAACTTATCACAGAAAGAACTAGATTTTATTTAAGCTAGATTAGTTGTTTTATTTTAAAAAAAATAAGATTAGCAATGCTGTAAGTATGTAAAAAAATCCTTTAATATAAGTTTAATATAAAGTTAGTTAACCTTTTTAATAACTAAAAGGTATGCGTTCTCTCTTGCGCATAAAAAGATTCTTTTTGAATAATAAGATAACAGCTGATGAATAGCAGTTGTTGTTCCTCAAGGAAGGGGGGCTTAATGATAAGATGAATTTTGTCTTCTTCAAGCCCCAGTCATGTAAATATTTGTTTTTATAAATTACGAGTGTAAGTTATTTTCAATCGGCAAATACAATACTACTACTACAAAGTATCCTAGAAATATAAACAGTTTAATTGTTTTTTTAAGTTTTTATTTTTATCTTTAACGAATTTTTAATTTTACTACAGTTTCCCCAGCAACAATATTAATTGAATTTGCTGTTAAGTAAATAAATATTTATAGAGTTTCTAATTAAGTAAAAGAAGTATTAATCTTAAACAAAACAACTCCCAACAATAAAAACTTACTCTATGCAAGTATGTTAATATACTAACGTTAAGTAAGTATGTTAACCTAGAGTCCTCCATGAAAACATTAATAAATACTACAATATAAATTTTAGAACACGTAAAAAACTTGTAAAGTAATAATTTTTTTTTCAAACAAAACAATAACAAAACAAAATCAACAAAAGATAGAAGCATGTAGACTATATATTACTTTAATGTGAAAATTTTTATTTGTTAGTAGTAATGACTTAATCATATCATTTAGTAACTTCAAATTCTCAAAAAATAGACGACAGACTTTCTGCCAACAAAGGTAACTATTACATTATGTTTATTTAAATTACAATAATAATATTTACTACATTTAAAATGTGTAATTAACAATTAGTGTGCTTTCTTTACACACATTTTTATTTGTATTGCGCCTCTTAGAAATGTAGAAAACAAGATAGACGGACAAATTGCAACTAATTTAACTTTAAAAGAATATGATATTTTGATTTCTTGTAATTAGTTAAGTTTCTTCTAGAAAATTTCGTTTTTTAAAACTTGATTAAAAATGTTACTTATGTAAAAAAATGTTGTTCGGTATTAGGGGATACTTCAGACATTTTTCTTTTAACATGAAAAGTACGCTAAGATCTAATATAATTATTTGCTTCAAGTAGTCAAGTAGTAGTAAACTAATTTCAATAGTTTAAACTTTTGCCGTCTTATTTTATTTATATTATGATTATCTGCCTGGTAGTTTTTAAACAAACTCTTGAGTTTGTTCAATAACTAAATGAGGATGTTTGACTGAAATAAAATGTGAATGTCTGGCTAGTAATTTTTTCAATATTGGCACTCAAAATTGATTTTTATAATTATTTATTTAAGTTTAACATTTTTTATTAAATATAAAAGCTTAATATAAATTCAATTTGACAATAAAACGATTTGGAACACTTATAAACTTAAAAATATTTCAACGAAACCAACAGAGCTGTTTTGTTAAGTAGACACGAGAGAGATGATTCTAAGAGTAATATCAATATCAAATACTACGTTTTTCTTATATTGGTATTTTTTATATATGATTATTTGGTAAAGATTACAAACAAGCAATACTTGATGGATGAAATTGTTAACTCATGGACAAGAAATTTTGAACTGACAGGAAACTGCACATCTCTGGTTCACTTTATGCTAGAAAAAATACAAACACTTCTGAAGGGTAATGGTTCCTTTACAAACTACTAGATAACAATCTCTGTACTGAACTTTATGTAAATAGCGTAACTGTTTAGGTAACTATAATATTTGGTTTAATTAAATTACTTAACATTTCGAGATTTTAGACTGATTATAAATAATCAGGTATCAGTGTACTTTTATTACACACCTTTTTATTTGTATTGTGCCAATTCTTAAGGTAGAAAACAAGACAGAATTACAAATTGTGTTTTATTTATAGCATGATTGGCTGACTGCTAGTTTTTAAAGAAACTATTCCAAACAAAATGAGGATACCTCGCTAGTTTTTGATTAGTATTAGTACCTATTGAACTTTATCACTATTTATTTAAGTTTAACTTTCTTGTATGCATATAAAAATTTAAATATTAAAGGCACGTTGACAGTAAAACATTTTGGAACACGTATAAATTTACAAATATTAAAAATTTAAGAAACAACAGAGCTGATATTTAAGTAGATAAGGGAGAGATGACTCTAAGAGCAGATTGTAGACTTACTTATCATTCTATTGTAAAATTATCAAACATCATCTTTTTCCAATATTAGTTTTTATTTATACTTGATTAGTTAGTTTAATTAAAAAGCGTTGGTTTAATTTGGTAGTTTAGTTAAATTTAAAAAGTGTTTAAAATCAACTAAAGCGCTAACTTAATTTCATTATGATTATGCTGAAAAGTTCATAAGCAAATTACATTTAAATAATCGAGAACAATGCATTTTACAAATACCCGCCTAATTTTTTTTTAATTGAAAATCTTTATTTTCAGTTGAATGATTACAATACTTTTATAAAATATATTAATTAAAATACTACAAAAAATGTGCTGATTAAAAAACTAATTAAAAACGACCTTTTTGGATTTATTTACAAAAAAAACGCAATTATTACAATTAAATTAAATTTTTATAGTTGTTATTGCAACATTAAAATAATAAATATTAGGCATAACTGTTTAATTGAACATTCCAAATGATTTTTTACGACTAAGGTTTAACAGTCATGACAAAAAACTGCATTTGCATTTAAAAGTAATTTGACCTTTTAAAAGAGATTGTACTTTTTGAAATAACTATTAAGTGTTAAATCTTACCTGCGATTATAGCTATATAAAAAGAAATATTTATAATATCCTTACATAAATTAAATTCTGAGGTCAAAGATTTAGCAAACTTTCAGTCTGCAGTGTATACACTTTGCATAATAATTATTTATTCTTTTGTCACCATCAACTGATTAATCGATTTTTTGACGAAGTGTTAAAAAATTGTTAAAAAAAAGTGTTTATAATTTACTATAGATAAACTTCCCAGTGGGCATTTCGACGTCGAACGAACGTCGAGCGACGTCGGATCTCGACGTCGGATCGACGTTGGGTTTACGTTGGAAATGGAAATGTTATTTGACGTCGGATAAACTGACATCGCGCGACGTCGGCATTCCGATGTAAATCCAACGTGTTTTTTGAAAACTAAAAAACGCTGCCTTTGGGCAGGAATCGAACCTCGGTCTATTAGTTCCTAAATTCTATGCGCTTACCACTACACCACAAGGACATATTAATAGGCGAGTTTACTTAGTAATTTATACTTAAAGCTATTTGGGAATTATTACTTTGATAAGAAATAATTTTGTTTAAATATTATATAAATAGTAAAACGAATAGTTATATATTATAAAAAATGTATACTCGAAAATGTTAATAGTTAAAAAACTATGCTAGTGCATCATACAAAACCTCATGATGTTTTATCAACCTTTATTCAAACTTTTTTCCATTAATAAAAAAACACGCTTAGTTCACATAATTATTGAAGAGCGCAATTGCACACATATTGTTGGGTTTGGATTATATTTTCATCAGCGATGTCTTACGACGTTGTTCCGACGTCGTTTTAAGGACGTTGGATTGACGTCGGAAGACGTCAAAAGACATCGGAGTACGTTAATATTATGACGTTGCCCGACGTCTTTTTATCGACGTTGGATCGATGTCAGTACTGCGACGTTTTTTGGACGTCTTTTATAAGATGTCGGAACAACGTCAAAATACATCGAAACGACGTCAGGGGATGTTGAGATAAAGACATCGCCCGACGTCATTTTACTGACATCGGAACAACGTCGGAATAGGTCTTTTGACATCGCTGATGAAAATCAAACGTAAATCCGACGTCGGATTGACGTCGGGTGCCCACTGGGTTAGGCTTTGCTGAACTCGGTGGAATTGATTTACTGAATGTGACCTAATCATATCAGCATTCACAGCTTTTATATCCTGGTTGACAATTATCTTTTACTTATTTAAGTCAACATGCTTTTGATTACTCATTCAGGAAGATCATCTCTTTATTTTGAATACTGCATAGTACAGTACAATAGAGTTACTTGGGTCAAAAATGAATTATTTTATCTAGTAATTTTCGATGCATATCATCTACAGAATTAGTTATTATATATTATAATAATCATATTAACGCCTTTTTTTCTCCTAAAAAAATAAATTGTGGAATAAAATGATAGCCATGATTTTAAATCATTTTGTACCTGACTCAAATTAAACTGATTTTGGGGTTACGTAGGTCAGTTATTGTTTTAAGTCAAAAACATGAAAAAGTGCACAATACAAAAATATTTTATCAAAACCAAAATACGCAAACATAATGCACTTTTTATAAAAAATACGCCCAACAAATGAAGTTCGTTTCATGAAAAAAGTCCAATACTTATTTACACATACGCTTCTCATTTCCATTTATTTCAGTATATTCCTTTTGATTGAATATCCCTGTGAAAGTTCTCCCGATGTTTTTTATATCAGCAATATTTTGATCCTCAATCCCCATTTAAAAATTTGTAACTTTTGAACTACGGCAGCTTCTTTTTTGTTACTAAGTGCACAAGGTCGACCATAAGATTTAGGAGGCTTTTTACATTTACATGACCTTTTCAGTGTTTCTCTATGTATCTTTAATTCCTTTCCAACATTCCTACTTGTCTTTCTGATATTAATCTCTATCAAAACGTTCTCAACCATTTCATTATAAGTATTAAAATACAATTGAGTAGCTCACTACTCAACTGTATTTCCTCGGCATCGAAAAATGACACAGTTGTACATTATCAAACTATTTTTGTTAAAACACAAAGTATTACTTGATGTAGGTGGCTAAAATTAAGAAGCACTAACTTAAAAAATCAAATATAATCTGAATAAGTTTATATGATATAATTATCTTCATGAATTACTATTACAAAATAACTATTTTAAGTATTTTGAATAAATGTTGAGCCAAGTTACCCAGAAGGCCTCTTTTGTTAAAAAAATAACTAATACTTAATCACCTCATCTTTTACAGTTATAATATTGCAACATGTTATAAAAATATTAGCACTAGTAAATTTGATATTTACTTTTTTTTCTATAATGTTAGTGTAAAAAATATTTAATTAGGTTTTACTTTTTACAAATACATTCAGTTTTGGTGAAAACAACTTAAATAAATTAATTGTTGTGTTGCTAAGATTCTATGACAAAAGTGCATCAAAACAAACAATATGCTTATTTACCATTACCGTAGAGTTAACACAGTAGAGATTAAAAGCCAATATTAAGTATTTAATACCTCAAAATTTGACCCAAGAAACTCTGTTTTAAGATAATAATCTTCTTTGAAACTTCTCTTCAATCTATACATGTAATAATATTTTACTTGTTGGCAGTTTAACCCTTCCCAATTGTTTATCTATAAATGTTTTAAAGACCTTTGATGCAAAATGTTGAAGCAATTTAAAATCTTTGGACATGAAAATATTCTATGTTGATTTTTTATTAAAGGGTTGCATAATACTTTTTCATTTATATTGAACGCAATCTCATCATGGTTAAGCATTATGATTTGAACTTTAAGTTGACCTACTTTCATTGCTCTGTAGTAAAATTGAGTGGATGTATTGTTGAGCTTTATGTTATTTCTAAAACCACTTCTTAGACAAATGAGTGAACACTGATATAATTCAGTAACAACTTGTCTTCTTGCAAGCCTTAAAGTAGTAACTCTTCTTGTTTGCTGGCTTTCTGAAATTTTTACCCGTTCTTCAAAAAAAAAAACTTTTACTTTCATTTAATTTTATGTTAGTTTTTAAAAATAAACGTTTTATAAAAATATTAGTTTTTAAAAATAAACGACACGGAGGATCAAAAAGGTAAATTACACAATTTTCAAATTTTCAACTTATCATTTCCGACACAGTCCAGTAAAAAATAAGTTCACTTCAACATCAAATCCTCCGTCTATATAATTTTTGCTAGATTTCTTAAAGCAATCTGCGCTATATATTTTTGGTTGATATATTGTTTGTTCTTGTTGCAACATCCAAAACAAATTATACTTCTCCACTTCAGGTGATTTTTTTTCCAATTCAAATGTGATAATGTTTTTATTTAAATTCTAATAATTTCGCATTATTGTACATTAAAAACTAGAATTATATTTTTTTCTAATTTAAAAATATACGAAATATTCACACAAACAAAAGAACTAGTATTTCAATATAATATGAAAATGTCGCATTATATAAAAAAAATAAACAAGCTGATACAGAGTTGTTAAAGGGTTTTACAAAACGCCTAAACGAACTTTTACATCGTAAATCTGAAAATACAAGTTCATCTCGTTCATTAAGTTTTAATCAGCACAATGTAAAAAAAAATTTTTAACAAATATTTAACAATTTTAAAAAAAGATAATTTGGCTTCTGAATTAATAATATTAATGAAACCAACAGTATTACAATCGCTAAATTTAGCATTACATGAACCAATACAAGTGGAACAGTGTGTGTCTGCTGAACGTGGAAAGTTATTACTACGTTCAGTATATGAAACGCGATCGGAAATTTCATTTGACTTGTTTTTATATTTTCTAGGACATCTTTTCATGATATCAAGATTAGTGGAGTGACTACTGGTTGCATAGGTTATGAATACAGTCAAATAAGTAGCAAGATCACGAGGAAATTGTTTTTAAAAGAAAATATATTACGTAAAAAAAATTTGTTAAATGTTAAAAATATGATCTAATTTTATTTTTAATAGACAACTATGAAATTCATTGTTCATTTGACGGCATCAGTTATTTCTTGAAAATGGAAGGGTAATTTTAACATTTACTCCCATTGCACTCATTGTATGCAATCTTTATACGTGGCAGATAATGGTCGTATTGTGCTTAAGCTGTCTACGTTTCAGAATTATTGGCTAATATTCAATTAAGAGAAAACAATATATTATTTAACTGGCATTATTACATCAGTCTATTTCACTACATATGTTGGAAGAAATATTTTTTCTGGTTTTTCCACAGTTTGGAACAAGTTCTTTTTTTTTAATGGTTATTTGACAATGACTTCTTGTTTGCCGAAGTAACTAATGATACCCTAACGATATTTTCCAAAATCTCTACCTCTCAAAAAACAAATAAAGACAGAAAAATCTAAATATTTCACTAATACTACACAAAACCTAAAAATTTCCAAAACCTTGCTAAACACTTTAATATTAACACTATACTGAATACTAATCTATAATGAATTGAATTATATTTCTTTTTTTTTATTATTTTGATCAAAGTATATTGGAAAAATATAAAACTTTGAATTTATAAAGATATATTTTAAGATTTTTAATTTAAAAAATTAGGATATAAAGGAGTTTTACATTTTTCAACCTTATCATGTTTAACTTTTGTTTGTAATAAGAAGATCATTTTTTTTATAAGTCTAAAGTTATAATCACTTTAAAGAATAGATCAAACAAGACTTAAAATAAATTAACAATGAACGAGACAGAATATAAAAACAAAAGAAGTTTAAGAAATTTAGTTTTATATATAAGAAGTTAAAATTTTTATATCTAAAACTTCATATCTTAAACTTCTGTTGTTTCCATTTTCTGGTGACGATTCATAGCTGCCCTAGGTTTAAAGCTACCTCATGCTGAGGCAGCATTAAAAAATTTTATGTATGTTAAAACGAAAGAATACTGACTTTATTTCTAGCTTGAAAATTGTACAAGGACTGCAAATTCATTATTTAAATTAAAAAAAAATTACCAATCGTCAAGAAGAATTGAAAATGTAATATAGAAGAACCAAAAAAAATAATTCAATAACCTAAAATGTTTTAACCTAAAAACTGGTTTTGTAAGGTTACCAGTTATTCTTTTGACTTCCCTCATATTTTCAGGTTTGACCTCTCAGCGCACAATATTCTTAGCTAAAGTTAGAGATATGTTAAAAGTAAAATTTTGTTAGGTTAACGTAGTGCCTGATCCTTAAGGCAAAGTTTTTCTAAAAGGAAAATGAGAACATTTGCAAAACTTGTATAGATTGATACCAAACCTATCATAATATTGATACGGTGTTGGTCCGAAAAACGTTTTTTTTTTTAATATTTAACATAGCACTTTTTTCAATAAACAGACACTATTTAAGAAAAAAACAGGCTGAAACATATATGTAGATAATAAAAGAAAAAATTTATCATCTCATAGGCATATATAAATAGAACAAAGAAAATATATACTAATAGCACTTTTGATTCTTATATATTTCTTACCTATTATAGATTTTGAAAATTTTATTTCTTATATATTTTGATAATTTGTAATCTTAGCTTTGGCAAAACTACGAGTAAAGTTTAAGAAAACCAACAAATTACTTTGTTGCTTTGAAATTATATTGACACTAAGAACATAAAAATACATTTCTATGGAGTACTTATATTTTACCTTATTTTAGTATAGCGTTATCACATGTTCTTTAGTATTCTTTATATATAATTTTACATAAATAATGTCTATAAAACAAAGTTTTTAAGAAGCGTAAAATAACATTTCAGATTTTATATCATAAGCTTAAGTTACTGTTTTTGAGCTTTTGAATAATATTTTTAACTTGGGTTTGGGTCACTTGGCTCTCTCAGTAAATCAAAATTTAACAGGTTTTTAAAGTAAAAATATATGCAAGTTTTATAATCAAATCATGTGAAGTTGTTGTTTTTTCGGATGTTGTGGGTCATTAATTTGAAAGTCAAAAGTGCAATGCAAACTTTAGTTTTTGAGTTGTAAAGTAAAATGTAAATGTGTGTTAAAAAAAGCTAAAAGGCGTAATTCAAAACTAGCAAGATCACCAAAAGGCATACTTCGGAACGTAAGGGTTAAGAACAGCCTTGCTTGCTTGGTTTGTGTTTTAAAGTTGTGAAGTAAATAAAAAATGTAGTATTATTATTAAAAATGTATATAATTTGCAACTTGAACCAATGTAGTTGCTACTAAGCTTAAGGGAGGTTAAAAAAGAAAAAGAATAAAACAGCTATTTAAAATATTAAAAATCCTTGTTTTATCATTTTCATCAGTTGATCTTTAATAGTTTTGAACTTTAATAGTTAAATATTAATGCCTTTAAAGTTAGTTGAATTTTATATCAAACTTTAATAGTGAAAAACTCAATAGAAAAATGGCAAAATGATGACTACAATGATGATGATGATGATGATGATGATGATGATGATGATGATGATGATGATGATGACAATGAGGATGATGATGATGATTTTATAATTATCATAATTTTTATTTAGATATATCTGAGATAAGCACAGCATTAAAGTACTATTATCTTGCAAATTATGGGAAAATAAATGAAATTCAACCACTATTGAAAGCACATTCAAATGTTGATTTAATAAATAAATTTGTTGATCTATGTATTGTTGATGCAAATGATGTTCAAATAGATGTTGTTTGTAATGTTGAACGAAAAAAATATCTTGAAAAGCAAATGAGTTATACACCGATTTCATATAGTGAAATATTTTTAAAACAAAAATCTAATATGTTAATATCTGGAGTGGCTGGTATTGGAAAAACGTGGTTGCTTAGAAAATGTTTGCTTGATTGGTCAAATAGTTTAATTTGGAATAGTTTTGAACTTGTATTTTATTTGGAATGTCGGAGTCTTAATCAATTTCAAAATGCTTCTAATGTTAATGAATTACTAAATATTTTCTACAAAGATATTATTATTGATTTTAATATTAGTAATCATACTGTACTGTTTGTAATTGATGGATTAGATGAGTTTAAATATTTAAATGATTTAATTAGTTTGAGATTAACTCGCTATTATCCGATTGTTAAGGCTTTAGGGGAAATTCGAAAATACAAAACTGTAATTGCTGGTAGAGTTTATGCAATTGATAAATACCTAAGTATGTCTATAGAACACCGTGATATGTTAACGATTCAAGTGATGGGATTTAATGAAAATGGAATAAATAGTTATATTGTAAATAATGTTAGCGAAGATAAAAAAAAAATTGTAGAAACAACTTTGAAGGAATCTTCAATTGCAAAGTCCATGGCATCTGTTCCATTTTACTTATCTTGCATGTGTAAAATTATTTGTAGTTCAAAGAAAATATATACAAATTCTTTCCTAACAATGACGGATTTGTATGCAAATATTTTTTTATACTTTTTGCAAAAACACATCATCAAAAACAATGGATTAGTTTATCAAATGATGGAAAATGAAAACAATAAAAAATATGTTTTAAACATTTGTAGGATAGCCTTTGAATTGTTTGTTGAAAATAAATTTATTTTTTCAAAAAAGGAAATTTTACTATTTATCAATAACTTTAATGAAGTTGAAGAAAGTTTTTTCGGTTTTATTGAAAGGGTTGAAACGCATCTAGGCTATCATTATCAATTTGCGCATTTGACAGTAATGGAGTTTTGTGCATCTGTATATGCATACAATGTTTTAAGCAATGAAGAGATCGTGGCTAACAAAAATTTGAAGAGTTGTTTGCCAATGATTTGTGGATTAACCAATGAAAATCAAAATAGCTTATTAAAGTTTCTTGTTAACCTGAATCCTTCGAATAAATCCTGTAAAAAATCTTTACATTTGCTGTCTGTTTTGGGTAAGTTTAAAAACTTTGTTGCATTACTATATTATATTTTCACTAAATATACATGTGTTTAAACAATATAAAAAATGTAAATATATTAAACTTATTTTACAAAACGTTTTTTTGGTAATACAAGATTTTGGCCTAATTTTATAACATTATATTTTTATGCGAAACTTTTTTAGTTTAACTTTTCAAAAGTTATAGTTTTTTAAAATATTTGTTTCTCAAGCAATATTTTATTTTTATTTTCTCTACATAATATACTTTTTTTATTTATTTGATTTGTTTTACAATATTTGGCAACTTTTTCAGAGAAATTTGAATAAGTATTTTAATAATAACTATTTATTGCTAAAATTTAACAAAATAACAAATAAAATAATTTATAACAAAAATTTTAATGTTTAAATTATGGTAAACGAGAGTGTGTAATGAACACACTCTCGTATGAGAGTGTGTTCATTACACACTCTCGTAACTTTACGTTTGCTTTTATTATATTTTTCTAATTTCTTCCTTAAATATTATCATTCATGTATTTAACACGATAGATGGATGAAGACTATTCTCTAAGGAATATGGTTCTCTCTAAATAGATAACATTCTCTAAAAAAGCCTTTTTTGAATCAAATGGGATTTCTTTTTTATGCAGACTGCTCCACTAACTCTCAAGGTTTTATGATTGTTTTTGACGTAGATGTACCGGATGACCGAGCAACAGCGTAACGCGAAAAATATAAAAACTTGAAAATACACAAAAAATTTATTTCAATTCATAACTGACTAGAATTTTAACTAGATGTTTATTCATGAATAAGGTTTAAAATTATTCAATGTGACCACCATTGGCATAATACGCAAGTTGGATACGTCGCTGGATGGATCTGCATGCATTCTTGACATCTTCTTCTGGAACTTTGGCCCATGCTTTGCATATAGATCTTTTTAGTGACTCAGTACTTCCATGGGTAATCTTGCAAGCCTTCTTATCCACAGCCGTCCACATAAAAAAGTCTAATGGGTTCCCAGTACTGACTCATGTTTTCACTGAGAAAATTTTGTGTTATATTTGAAGTATGAGCTAGTGCCCCATCCTGCTAAAACACATACTAACCATCTGGATAGTTTCTGTTTAACCACGGAATGGATATACTCATCACTGTCACTTTTTTGACCTTTTTTTCACAAAAACTGGCGGACACTTTTTTTACTTGCTATCGTGCCAAGTACCATCACAGAAATTTTTTTGATGAAAATGAATACCTGATATTCTCAAAAACTTCCTTTACTGTTTCAGCAGTACTAAGGTACCTTGTGTTACGGCGATTAGTAACTTTATCCACAGTGAAAAGTTTTTCATCAGAGAAGATTGTCACACGTCCAGGGTAAAATTTTCGCTAATTTAACAATTTTTTCCATCGCTCTTTCCAACTTTCTTTCTGTTTATTAGTGATAAGATGCTTAGTCACAACAACTCTGGATTTAAGGTTCAAATCTTTCATAACTTTTTGCATTGTGGAGTTGGCATGATTGGCTTCCCTTGCCAACTGGCAGATGGAGCGCAATGGATTTTGCTTGACTTTTCTTTTGATAGACCTTAAAAGCTGAGGTCATCGTTTCACAGGTTTTGGCCTATTAAAACGTCGTTTGATATCTTCTGTTTCATGAAAAAGTTTTCTTAATTGAAAAATTGCTGTTCTGGAGCAGTTTTTCTGGTATAGCAAGCCTTTCTGGTCTCTGATGTAGTCTTATCCGATTGCAACATTTGCAAAATGCTTTGTCTTTTTGATTCTTGCAAATTCATTTTAATAAAAAATTTTTAATTTTAACGTTTTTTTTATTTCTGTGTTGATATTATTGCGTAATTTGTAAACAAATTGATCCACGGATATCTAAAAGCATGGATAGAGCCTTAAAATTGAGCGTAACGCAGTTGCGTGGTCACCCGGTACACCATTAAACTTGAGTTTAACCGTGAACAACTTTGAAGCATTCGATTAAATCTCATACAAGTTTTAATCACTTTTTTCTTTAAAGTATTAATATAAAAAGTTATATAAAATGTAATTAAAGTTATACGAGTATACAAAAGTATAACAAATACATAATTAAATTATTTAAAAATATTTTGCATTGTTGTTTTTTCAAATTAGAGTTTATTGTATCTAATAAAAAAGTTTCTTATTTTGGAAATAAATCTTATTTTTAAAATTCACATGTTATTTGGCGCAGGTTTTTATAGCGTAACAAGGGGCAAAATGAGACACTTAAGCACTAATTTACATAGTACGGCCTATCTAACAACTTTTGAAACAATAACTTGATATTTTTCAAATCTTCTACTATTCTACTTGATGCTTATAAAGTATGATTTGCAAAACTGCAGTGGTTTAGTCACCAGTGATCATTTATTGACAATACCTATCCTGTCTCATTTTTCCCCGCATAGAGTGGCAAAATGAGACAGATTTTTTTTTAGTAACATAAATAAATGAAATTAAAGAAAAAACAGATCTTTAAGAGGATTAGCAAAAAAATACATTGATAATATATTATAGCTATAATCAAACTGTCACTAGTCACATAAATCACATATTGTTTGACCAGAATTTTGAAACGAACAACAGTCCGAATAAGCCCAGGTTGTGCATTTTGAACATTGACTCCACTTCTTTTCTTTTGCAGCCTTACTGCATAAACCATTACAAACATAACATTCCCAGTCTTCAACACTTAAACTTTTAACTTTTTCTTTACCTTTTCCTATGCACTTTTATTTTCTATTTTGTGTTAACTTTTTTGATTTTTCAGAGGATTTAAATAGTGACTTTCTGTAATGTGATATTGTTATTATCTGGGATTCTTCTCCGTTTTTTGGTAGTAAAATGATCTTTGGAATTGATAAATCATTAGAAAAGTAATGGATCATATTAAAATCAATATTTTCTGAAGATCCTGATAGCACAAATTCCAGATGTACGAAAGTCATAACAGGCAATTTTTACATATTATAGGATTTGGAGAATATACCTCCAAGTTGATCAGTTGTTATTTTTCTTCCAGAATGTTCACGCAACCATGACCCACGTTTTATATTATAAAAAGGTTTTAATGGTTTAAAAAAGCTTCGATAAAGTGGCTGCGTTTTTTGAGAAGTATGAGGTTGTAAGGTTATAATAACTAATCCATTTTCATTTGCAAAATCTAACAAATTAATAATTTTGTATGAGTTTTATGCTCTTCTAAAATTAAAAGAACTTTATTTTCTATAGAAGCTTTAATGAACTTAGTAAAGTGTTTTATATGCTTCATGAACAGATCAGTTGTAATCCATCCATTTTTAGAGCACCCTTTAATTGTTTCAGTGGGAGCATGGTCGATTAGTTCTAATTTCATTCGCTTTCTCTTTAAAATCATCATTAATGAAACAAATAGTCCAGTTACATTCATAGCACAAACAACAGTTGTTGTTACACCCCGTTCTCCACTTGTTAAAGAAGAAATACAATGTTTTCCTTTTTTTGTTATATTTCTAACAGGTTTATGTACAGATGTAATGGCTGATTCATCGAAGTTAAAAATTTGATGAGCTTCAAACTTATATTTTTTATAACAATATTATTGAAATAAATAATCACAGAAGTGCGGTTTGAACCATAAATACGATTTAAAGACAACCCCTGAAGCTTTCTTATTAAAAGGTCTGGATGTCTCTTCAAAAATCCACCTACAAAATCTCCTCCTGCAACACCGTTATATTTATTAAATGGATGAACTATGTTATACTTTTCAATGTAATGGAAGACAATTTGTTGAATGCCACTTATTGACAATCCATAAAAAACTGAATCAATTTCTTTAACGTAGCTAGCTAATTGTTTTTCAGTATCATCTGGCAATATTTTCTAAATGAACCAAGTAATCTTTTATGAATATAACAAGATTCTAAATCCTTTAATTTTCTTTGAATCCTTTTATGTAAAGTATCTTTATTTACACTAAATGTAAAAGCTGCTTTTCTCAGTGACATTTCCTTCAATTTTACGGAGTCGATTACCAATAACATGCTCAGCTCAGAAAAATTACCACGATCAGTTTTTCTTTTATAGAACTAAAACTGATTCTTTTTTATATTAAGACGCATTACATAAAAGCTGTTAAACAATAAAAAAAATCATATACATTTGTATTTATACTTATTTGTTAAATTTTTTTAAGGTAAATATTTGATTAATTAAAAGTCTTTTTTTCAATTATAATCATATTTATCCAAAATCAGTTTTTTTTTTGTAATATTATAAGAGATTTTACTTTCAATAGATTGGATGTGAAACTTTTATTTTCAAAATATAAAAGATAATTATATATTGGATAACAACTAAACATTTCAATTAATAAACATTTCATTTAATAAAGTAAATACAGTATAATAAATTTAAATCTACAGCATGTAAATATTAATCTTTGCTATGTTTGTTGTTTTAATGTAAAGCATTAAATAAATATATATATATATATATATATATATATATATATATATATATATATATATATATATATATATATATATACATATATATATATATATATATATATATATATATATATATATATATATATATATATATATATATATATATATATATATATATATATGTTACATTTATTTTGCGGTTTAATATATATAATCAACTTATATATACAAAAAAAATACATACAAAAGTATATGATTTTAAAATTAAATAAATAGTTAAAATAAAATTATATAATTTTTTTCTGATAAAAAAAAACATGGTTTGATTTTGAATTAATTAAAAAAATATATTTAAGTTGACTAAAACTTATGGTAATGCTTAGGTTTAACTTAACTGTCAAATTCATTTAAATTAAATAACTAAAAATAAAAAAAAAATTATTTATTACTCGCCAATTGTTTTAAAATGAAAAATCATTTTAAGTTCAAAAAATTTTTTAATGATTATTTAAGATATAATCATTTATAAAAATTTATCATATTTCAATTTGTTCAAATGTCGAAAAAAAGTTGTTTTTTTCAAAAATGTAATATTGAACTTATTATTTAATATTAAAAATTTTGAAAGAAAATTGACATTTCCTAATAGTACAAATATAATTTATATTTTTGCAGTAACTTAAAATAGTTGTCTTTAAAAAATAAAAAAACAAACGACATGTATATCAAATTAGGATAATGCGTTAAACATTTTTTTAAAACATGGGCTGCATACTAAATTTAGTGTGCATAAAGTTGTTTACATGTAGTTGCACACTATATCTTAACATACTTGCTTTGCAAACTATAACTTATAAAAACATGCGTTGTGAACAATTAGGGTAGTTCCTGATTTTAAAAAGAAAAGCAGGCTATTGATAATTTTTACTTCTGATATTGGTTCTTGTTTAATCCTTTTAATGAAATTATGCCAAGCTCATTATTTGTAGACTCAATGGCGCAAAATACATTATTTGTATAATCAATGACTATGAGTTTTCAACATTGATTTTAACGTAGTTTTCAGTAAAATATGATTTACAGAAAGACCTAATTTTTATCATACATGTGAACTTAACTCTTATAGTATTTGTTTGTATTCTGTCTGCTAACGAAGTTGTTTAACGTTGTTATAACATACGATGTGGACTGCATGATTTATATTAAAATACATTAAAAGCTTAACATAAAGATGCTTTTTATGCTGTCATCTTCTGTGTATACTTCTGTGTAACTCACTTATAGTGATTCGCAACAGCAGGAGTTTAAAAAAGTATAAATAAACACTGTATAATTTTTAGTTAACAATCTTTAATAATAAACCGAAACTTTTTGAATTCCCCTTCAGCTGCCGAACTGTATATAGTTAAAAAAAAGTATGAATTAAATGTTTGTTTGGCTCAAAAAGAAATATTCATATAAAATAGTTTAGAAACATTTTTAATTTAAAAAAGAAAATTTTTTCTTCCCTCTAAAGAATGCAAACTTATCTGATTAGGTAAAAGTGTTAATATTGTATGTCTCCCACATCATAGTTTTAAAAACGTCGCGCTTCAACGGTTATGATGTCTTCATCATCATACCCTTTAAAGCGTGATCCTAACAACTATTTCATTGCCTTTTTACGTTTAAAAGAATTATTAGAAATTATAAAAAAAATAACTTTTAGAAAACTTTGAGAATCAGGAAATTATAAAATTATCACTAACTGCAAAAAGTTAGAAAAAATTATTTTACACCTATAATATAAACATTTTTGTACAAAAGTTCTTAAGATCTTATGCTTTTCCCTGCTCGGGTAAAAAGTGTACACAAGCAGAAAAAGTTTACTAAACTAAATAATATTTAGAACTTCTACAAAATAAAAAAATACTTGAAGCAGTAACAGAGAGGAAGTTTTTATGCATAATCTTTGCTTTGTTTGCCCCGACCTAACTTTAAGATTGATACAATTTAAATGCAAGGTTTTTTTTATTATTTGTATTTAGCTCAAGTTTAGACGAATAAATCATTGTTTTAACCTGCAGTATTTCATATCATTTAAAAGTTTATTTTATGATTTCTTTAAATATGTTTAAAACTTATTGTAATTTATTTTTTTGTCTATATTTTGACAATTATAACAGCAGATGTTAAAACGAAATTTCCAAACCGCTTGGAACATCTACAAAGTTAGGGGCGAGGGAAGTATCAACAAACAATTTTTTACTGTTTGTACAAAATCGCTATCAGAAGTTTTGTTCCAACAATAACAGCCTCAATGATGAGCTTATTTCCAGACGTTTATCAACCATTTATAATGAGCAATTTAAGAAGTTAATCAATGCCTATATTGATAAAGTAAGAGTTTTTTTTTGTACAGACTGCCAACATTTCTCCAAGTGATTTTGAACTAGAAGGATACTCTTGGTTAAATGCATAAAAAAACCCAGATTTTGGCGTGTATAATATCAACAAGTTTTTTTAGGGGGCAACCACAACGACAAGAAATTCGTCGTAAACTATTGCGGTGGAAAAAAATAATTTGGCTGTTTTTATAGATTCTGTCTCTCCCAGGCATATGCAATATTATTTACATTTTGTAATCGTCTAATTGAGAAGTTACGGTGTTTAGAATAAATGATCAACAAAGTCCATTAAAAATGTAAAGACTGAAATTTAAAAAATTAATTTGATTCATTTTTAGCAAAAATATACATTTTTTAAAGCCACAAAATACAACTTTATGGCTAAAAAAAAAAGAAAAATTTTATTGAATTTTAGCTCTAAAGTATGTAACACAAAAATAAAACTATGATGAGTATAATCTTTAGTTTATCAACAAAAAAAACAAAAATCAATTTATCGTAATTAACATGTTTTTGCTACGATAGTTAAAATGTTAATGAAACTTTTGTGGTTAAAAAAGCGACTTAAGAGAATTTCTACTAAAAGCATTTAAGGTATAAGATCCCTTAAATAAAATTTATTTACGACAAGAAATTCGTCTTAAACTATTGCGGTGGAAAAAAATAATTTGGCTGTTTTTATAGATTCTGTCTCTCCCAGGCATATGCAATATTATTTACATTTTGTAATCGTCTAATTGAGAAGTTACGGTGTTTAGAATAAATGATCAACAAAGTCCATTAAAAATGTAAAGACTGAAATTTAAAAAATTAATTTGATTCATTTTTAGCAAAAATATACATTTTTTAAAGCCACAAAATACAACTTTATGGCTAAAAAAAAAAGAAAAATTTTATTGAATTTTAGCTCTAAAGTATGTAACACAAAAATAAAACTATGATGAGTATAATCTTTAGTTTATCAACAAAAAAAACAAAAATCAATTTATCGTAATTAACATGTTTTTGCTACGATAGTTAAAATGTTAATGAAACTTTTGTGGTTAAAAAAGCGACTTAAGAGAATTTCTACTAAAAGCATTTAAGGTATAAGATCCCTTAAATAAAATTTATTTACGACAAGAAATTCGTCTTAAACTATTGCGGTGGAAAAAAATAATTTGGCTGTTTTTATAGATTCTGTCTCTCCCAGGCATATGCAATATTATTTACATTTTGTAATCGTCTAATTGAGAAGTTACGGTGTTTAGAATAAATGATCAACAAAGTCCATTAAAAATGTAAAGACTGAAATTTAAAAAATTAATTTGATTCATTTTTAGCAAAAATATACATTTTTTAAAGCCACAAAATACAACTTTATGGCTAAAAAAAAAAGAAAAATTTTATTGAATTTTAGCTCTAAAGTATGTAAACACAAAAATTAAACTATGATGAGTATAATCTTTAGTTTATCAACAAAAAAAACAAAAATCAATTTATCGTAATTAACATGTTTTTGCTACGATAGTTAAAATGTTAATGAAACTTTTGTGGTTAAAAAAGCGACTTAAGAGAATTTCTACTAAAAGCATTTAAGGTATAAGATCCCTTAAATAAAATTTATTAACAAAATCTTTTTTACAAAATACCAAATATATAGTGAGAAGCAACTATATAACAGGTTTTTTAGTAGTTCAAAATAAATTTGTTTGTTGACATGGTTACCAAATAAAATGACAGACATTCAAAAATGTTTAGGCCACCCCGGCCATTCTATCTCAGTAAGAAAAAGCATGAAGAATATGATTTTTTGGCATATGATACCCAACATAGTAATCTACAAACTGAACTAAAATTTCTAAAAAACTAAGTATTTAGCAATGCTGAGTTTTTCAAAATGGCGTATTTAAAAAAATACATTTTTGTGAACTAAATCTTCTGTAAAACAAAAACTCCAAACACAATTGTAAAACTTTTATTTCCAATTGTACAACTATATACAATAAACATTTGGTGACAACTTCATTTAAATCTGACATACGGTTAAAAAGATGTGATTCCGGGAGGTAAAAAATTGACAATTTGAGAAAATAGCATTTAAATATTACATTAACAATTTTAACAATTAAAAATGTCAAATACTCAATGAAAAATCTGTTATTTATAAGAACAAGAACCAGAATCATATAAACAACTTTCTAGGTTGATCTCTGCGTCATCTTTTTGTTTTTTTTGGATCCACGTATAACTTGTAGTAGATTTTTAGATGATGGTCGATTTTGATACTCTGTAAAAATTAAACGCTTTTTGTTCGTCTTCAAGAGTATAAATACCAGGAATCATATTTAATTTTTCAAATAAAATTATACTTATTTTTCTTTCAATATTAAAACTTGAAAGAGCATCATACCCACATAACTTCAACTGAGTTAACGATATATATTTTGTTTTAGATATGCAAAGCCATATCATCCCATTAAAACTCATTTTAGTTTTGCGTCTTACTATGAAGGCATTTTTTTGAGAGTTCTTTTTCAGATAGATCAGTATATACAGGCTTTAGATGACTGATGACTGAGGTTGAAAACCAGCACTTGGCTTGTAAGTAGAAGTTTCATTAGCTTTGTCCTGTTTATAATGATACTAATTTTGTATACCTTCAGGCTAGTAAGTATGCCAATTATTCTCAGCTAATGATGCAACAATATTGCAACTATGGAACAATATTGCAAGTATGGCCTTTTTCATACCTTCTAAATCATTGGCATTTTTCCTAACAGCATTTCCATAGTAGTTTAGTAGGCAGCATTTGTTAATTTGCCTTTGCCTCCAATTCCTTTAATTGTTTTTTTTAAAGTTCTTAATCTACTACTGACTACGTTTTTATACATTTGATGAATTCCAAGCTTAAAATGCACAAGGATTTTTTTTTTAAGTGTAAATTTTAGACTACATGCTTTGCATGACTGACTCATTGGCTTGCAATCAGGAGTTTTACTTTTGTCTATTGATATTGCTGTGACAACTCCATTTTGTGAGGAAAACCTACAAACTATCAACTGACACTGCAGTGCCAACAGTATTTAAAGAAGATTGACAATAATCTTTCATAGCATCAATCAATATTTTTTGCGACAGTTTTTGCACAATCAGCGATAGATTTAATAATTTTGTTGTATATATTTTAAGTCATTGAATTAGAAAGGTTCATTAAAGATGTAAACTTTTTTCATGCACGCATTGAGTAAACTATTCTATTATTTACATCAAAAGTTTTTTTCTCAGAACATGTCTTTGAAGTATAAAACTCAATTTTTCATTGCAGATAGAGTAGTAAATATTTAACTTTGAGCTCATTCCTTTTTCTTTTTCGGAAAAACTTCTGAACGATTTAATTTTGATTGTAAACATTTTTTGAATTATATTTGAATAATTAAACATAACAAAACTTCAATATCAACAATTCGATAACCAACAGTTTTAGTTTTATTATGCTGAGCTGTCTCAATTTTCTCACACTTTTTTTGAGAATATAGAAAAATTAAAAGAAGTCTTACAAGAAATATGTTCATTTTCATAATTATTAGCAGAAGCAACTGATAAAGTTAAATATATTGGCAAAGTTTTAGCGAATCTATTTCCATGAAATTATCTGGACTTTTTACTTTAAGTACTTTAAGAAATTGACTTATATTTCAAGAACAAAATCTTACTTCAAATTCGAGTTCAGCGAATATATATATATATATATATATATATATATATATATATATATATATATATATATATATATTTTTTAATTTAGTTTATTTTTTTGTCGTTTTACACATTTTACAATGTTATCTTTAAATTCGAATAAATATATATATAATTATAAGCTGACAGGGGCAAGTAGAAGACATAAAGTCTTATCATCAAGCCCTTTTGTGAAATAGAGAAATATAAAATTTCTAAAATTCCAATAATATAAAAAAGAGTTAAATTAAAAATTTTGAAAAAATAAACATACATTCAAACAAAATTAAAATAAAAATAAAAAAATTTAAAGAGTTTGAAATAAAGTAAAAAGATTGAAAAAAATTAAAAAGTTTAAAATAAATTAAAAATTAAAAAAAGTAAAAATTAGAAAGAAAAAAAAAATAATAATAATAATAATAATAATAAAATCTCGAAATAAAAAAATAAAAATGTATACAATGCGTAAATTAAAAAGTTTGAATTTTTTTTTACAAATCAGAACATATACGTATACATATTCAATACAAAGCGAAGTATATATTCAAAAATATTTATATATTAAAAAGATTCCAAACGTTATGTAGATTTAAATTCATTTGTTAGTATTTATTAAAAAAAGTTAAAAAAAAAACAGTCAAAGAGAAAATCAAACAAGAAAGATATATATGTATATACATATATTAAAAAAAAAATAAAAAAAAAAAAAAAAAAAAAAAAAAAAAAAAAAAGCTTTTTATCAAATTTATCAAAAAAATATTATTTTTAAAAAAATGAAAGAATGTATGTAATGTTTGAGTTTAGTAAGTGTTTTTTTATAGTTCTTTTGAATATATCAATAGATTTTATTTTTTTCATATTTTCGTCAAGAACTGACTTCCACAAGCGTGGCCCCCGACATGTAATTGAGAAGTCAGATTTTTTGAGTGATGTTGATGGGATGTAGTAATTATTTATTGAGTGTCTTGTTTCATATTTATGGTTAATTAGAGAGAAACCTTTATAAAAATATTTTGGAATTAGTTCATTTTGAAGTTTAAACATAAATAACAAGTTATGGTATATATTTAGTTCGTATACGTTTAGCGCATTAATTTCCTTGAGTAACGGCTTGGCACTTTCGTACCTATCTGCGCCCAAAACTAATCGACTTGCTTGCTTTTGTTTAGTATAAATATTTTTTAGGAAAGATGAATGATTGTTTGCCCAGGCAATATTACAATAGTTAATATGACTATGTATAAATGAAAAGTATAAGTTTTTTAAACATATTTTATTCAAAAGATGTTTTGTCCTGTACATAATCCCCACAGTCTTTGAAACTTTGTTCTCGACTAACTTTATTTGGCTTTTCCAATTTAAATGTTCATCGAAATTATATATATATATATATATATATATATATATATATATATATATATATATATATATATATATATATATATATATATATATATATATATATATATATTTATATATATATATGTATATTTATATATATTTATATATATGTATGTATGTATGTAGCGTAAAATAAAGCCCGCAGCCGGCAGTATCCGGAGTATATAGGGGCTCAAGCCAAAGTTTTCAAATTTTTTTATGTTAAAGTTGGCATTTTTAATAACAATATACGTGTATATAA